ACAAGGTTTGTCTGCTGGAAGGAAAAAGGGTGGAAAAAAAAGTGGTCGGGATGTGACTTTGACTGATGGCGGTTTCGCATGCCTTGGGTAACTTGGCTGGACTTTTCTAAGAGCAAGAGAGAATAGGAAAAAAAAAAAAGATTATCACGATTTTAATCTCCTCTGCAGCAAAGGTGTTGATGCTCTGCGAGATGGAAACAGCCCTCACGAACCCACTTCTGGGCTTATTACCCTAAATTAGATGTTTTAAAAATCAAAATCTGCTGTTATTTGAAAGTTGAAACCCAGACCAGATGTGGAGGTAATAAGACCTGACCAGCTTTTTCATTATTGGAAAAATACTGCAACAAACAGTGACAAAATCTACTGCATATGTGAATTTATGTGGAATGGTTCGTATTTCTCGTAATTTTCTACGAGTGGAGCAATTTTCTTTCCATTGAAAACAATTTATTATTTTTTAAATGGCAAATTTTCGCTCACAGATTTTGATATCAGGGTGAACTTGACATGTGGTGTTGATCGCACACAATCTTGACAAGAAATTTTGAAGATTCAAAAATTATTTTTATCATAGTATAATCTTCTTGCACACAATACTATTTGAGGTTACTTGAATAGAGCCAAAATCATATTTAGCCTTGCTAAAATAAATTTTTTCATCACAGCAAGGTTTTTTTTCAGATCCCAATGGCTTTGTTAAAACAAGATTTTACTATAAAAGCACTTTAAAGCAATCAGACTGTAGCAGCTGCTATGTACTGTACTACAGTATTTCATAAAGCATTTAATTCCCTTGCAGAAACAACAAACAGAAAATTGTATCAAACTTGCTGTGTAATCAAACTCTCTTCTGAAAGAAAGGTATATTTTCCATCAGTGAAGGTCGAATCTCATTGATACACCATCTTGTTAAAAAAATTTTTTTTTAAGGTCTCTGTAGAATAGACACAATGTTATTTGAGTTTCATGCCATCATATTTCACTGATGAGTGATGAAGTACATTATGCCCCCCCCCCCCAATTGGAACTAAAAAGTAGGGTGTACCATAAAATACTGAAAAGTACTTGTCCAGATCATGTTCCACAATGCTTAATTGCATCATTTTTTGAATAATATTACAGATAATTCATAGAAGAAACGTCAATTGCATTTTAATTTCGCTGGTGTTAATGATGGTGCATAAATGGACCTCTAAGGGGGGGGGGGGGGGGGTTGGATGTTTCTGAATTATTTTCTCTGCTATATTTTAATATTATGGCAATAAAATCCAATTTTAGTTCAATTCACTGCTATTAAAATTTATCTATCGAAATTCTTCAATTGTAAACAATATTTAATGAAATAAGGGGTGCGTGTCTCATACAGTATTAAGAAATTAATTTTTTAAATTTTATTTGGCAGTTCAGAAATGAAGGTGTGCACTTTCAGTTTCATGCGAGGGCAGATGATGCAGTACTTGAGTAAATACAGTTACTAATTTCTCCTTTATACAGAAGAATACATCTTTTATGCCCAAATGGGTTAATTCATAAGGAATTATTCCTCCTTTATTTCCAGGGCCAAAGGAATCCGTAAAATACCATTGCCATAGCTTCGAAATTGCTCAGCCTGCTGCACATTCCAGAGAGATATAATATCCAGTCAAAATGGTATTTTATCAAATCCCCATCATTTTTCTTCGCATCCCGGGAATATTTGAAGCCCATTTACGCTAATGGGATCCTCAAGTTCAACTTTTTAGCCCCCTCGTGTGCCTTTTAACACTATACACATGCTGAAGAAAAATCTAACCCGCAATCACGGAATTTTTACTCACAAATTTCAATAAAAAATACATTTTTATACAAGCCTCACTTTTTCCGAGTAATATTTTCAGATTCGTGCCAGTAATTCGTTCAATATCTGCCTCTGATGTGAGATCATCTCCAGACTTTTCGAAAAAGTCGTTTAAAAAAAAAAAAGAGAGGTTCATATCAGAAAAAAAAAAGAAAAGAAAAATATGAGATAAAAAACCTCAACATTTAATGCTACTACTGCTGGATGCAACCGCAAGTTTCGCCACTGTTAGGTAATGAGATCTTAGCGGTGGCATAATTAAAGCCCAGCTCAACTTTTTTTTTTCTGTGGGTTAACCTCCCCGTTGTCTTCCATCAACTTCATCACGAAGCCTAATTCTGTTTTGGAAGCATGCGATTATCATTATGCTTCTTTCCCCTCTTCTGAACAGCCATTTGCGGTTATTATTGAAATTGCAAAATGGCATGGCTCGTTGGTATACTAATGACCTGCTTCACGGGATGAGCCGGAAAAAAAAAATCATACGCTCTGGAAGTTGGAAACACTGATCATTAATGAGCCTTCCGAAGAAGGATGTGAAATCTTTCAGGCACGATATTCACGTATTTACGACTTGGACGTGAGGCACGAATTAATTCTTGAATGGCACGCAAAATATTTATTAAAAAACAAATCGCATATAGCTTATATATGCGAGTATAAAAATAGAAGAAAATCAAAAGCCGGCAAAACCCCCCTTTAAAACCGTGAAATTAACCCATTTCTTTACGAATCTATCTCTTGAAATTTCAAAGAAAATATCTGCCAAAAAATCAATTGAACACGGAATATGGGATTTGAAGCCTTAAAAATATTAGCCGATATTTGCTATCGTTCCATTCAATCGAAGTCAGGTAATCCTCAAAGTTCAGCTCAGATTTTATGAGCAGTTTCATAACAATTTGCAATTGAGGATTTCGGAAATATTTTCCATTTGTAAACCCTTTTAAATACAGTGTGAATATAATTTTGAACCGTCCCAGAAAAAAAGCTGATTTAAAACTTCACGTAATATTTTTTCCCCAGATCGCAAGAAAATCAAACTGTAGATTCAACCAAAATTCTGAAGGCTAAAATGGGATTCAGTGAAACGTTATCCTAAACCTTTTAAAAATGTTGAGGATACCAAAAGTAAGTCTTCATAAACAGAATTCAATACCAAGCAGACAATTTTCTCACAAAGGGCCTTGTCTTTAATTGCTAGTTGTAATTAAAAACGTCAGTCCAGTTCCTTTTCAGATATATTAAAATTAAAATGGCACATCTTTTTTTTAGGGTTTTATTTTTTGGAAAGCAGAGATATTTAATGTCCTCAATAATTTCAAAAATCGTTCATCTTTTTGAATGAAAATCTCGCATCTCGACCAAGAAGCTCTCCACAAAAAAAAAAAAACAAGGTCAAAAAAGCACGTCATCATCCCGACGATTTCCGAAGGAAAAATCATTATCCCCTGGCTCCGGAATTCATTTTTCGTCTATTTTTTTTCTTCATCTAAAAAAGTACTGTATATCTATAAAATAGATCCAAGGAGACCCTCCTTTTGAACATTCTCCTTTTCACTGAAATACGAAATCAATAAAAACTGCTGCAGCATGCAGGAAGAAGAAGAAAAAAAAAAAAGAAACCTCAAGGGGATCTCACACAGCAATAAACCTCAGAAACCGACGCAATTTCCTGCCAACGACCAAGAAAGAAAAATAAATAAATAAAATAAATAACCGTCAGCAGCCCAAAAACCTCAGGTCCTCAAACAAAACCCAACCGCAATCCCCACACAACTTTACACCACCTACACGTACGTACGTGTACCAGCACGATAAGAAGCCTTATAAAAAATCAATAAACAAAAACAAATGCTAAAAAAAAAGACAGACAGACAGAGTTGCTTATACTGTATATATACGTATTCCTCGCCAGGCAAACAAGCGCAAGTATTTTTTTTTTTTTGGGGGTGCCTTTTTTTGATGCTTGCTGCAAGTCTAGACGCTGTTTTATATGCTTCATCCCCCCTTGTTCCATCGTTCGTATATATATCCCGCATCCCCGAAAAACCTTGTATCATTAAATCCCAATTACGAGCCAGTTGCATCCAACACACTCAGCCAGGGACTTGATATAATGGTTTTACCTGCTCACTTGAGAAATCGGGGTTGAGGAAAACTGCTTTTTTTTTTTTTTACCGGCGAGTGCGCGAAGGACTGAGAGGAAAAAATAGGAAAAAAAAAACTGTTTCAGTCCGAAACTTTACTCAAAAACCCTCGGGGAAATTTTTTTCAAAGAAATAATCTCATGGCTTAACTACATCAAGAATAACAATGAAAACGAAAGTCCAAAAAAAAACTCGAGACTTTATTAGAAAACGCTTGAAACCTCAATTATTGAAACAGATGCACAGATGCAAATTCGGAAGGAAAAGAATTCGACTTGAAAACGTACACTCGAAGTTTTTTTTTTTACGAAACGTTTCCAGTTTTCAAGGTTAGGGGATTTTTCTTCATTTTGGAAAGATTAATCAATGGAAATTATTTCAACCAAATTATTAAAATTGTTTATTCATTCTTCATGCAGAGATACCAATCCACAGGAATAAAATACTGTACCTTATCTCTCTTATTATTAAAATGCAGAAAATAATTTGCATTCCTTCTTTTCTTATTTTTGGTGCAGGTTTTCTAAAATGTAGCCCCAATTTTATAACAAAAAAGGCTCGAGATTTGACTACGGGAGGTTTTTCAAAAAAAAAAAACGTTTATTGAGTTAAGGCGGTTTAACTTTCGCAGAACATGAGGGATTTGGCCAGACATTACCTGGATATAATCATTTATATTCAAATTAATGAGGCTTTGACTTGAAAAAGTCAAAGGCTGTATAGTAATATTGACAAAAATGGGTTTAAAGTGTAATTTGTTCCCCAATAATTTTTCATTCTGCGAACTTTTCGGGATGCAAACCTTATTGATTTTCCGCAAGTTGCTAAAATGAAAAAATATGTAAATTCGTTTCAGATAATCACAAAAATATGTTGATAAACTTATAATTTTTTTCAGCAATTCACAGCACTATCGCATAAAATTGAAGTAATATTGTAAATTTAAAGCTTTCTGATTTTTATTTTTTCGGTTTTCATATTTTATCTTCAATACAAAGCATGTCTTAATTTGCACACACAAAAAAATCAGTTGCTGAAACGTCAAACTTGTTGAAATTCGTGGAATAATTGAAGGGGAACAAAGACGTTTTTTCTGTTTTTTTTCTTCGATTATTGACACCACTGACCTGGAATGACCCTTGGAATATTGATAACCCGAGTCGCGGACGACCTTTCGCGCCATGGGGAATAATTCGTCACGTCGGGTCAAAAGGTTCGGCAGTAATTTGCACAACTGCGCTGCGGCTTCATTCACACTGATCTGCGTGAAGAACAAATAAAATGAAAATTTATTACTTAGCAAGGATATTTTGCGAATTCATCTTCCAGAACTCACCTCGTGAAGACTCAGAGGTTTCTGGGGCTTCCTTTTGCAGTCAAACCTGCCGTAAATCGCAGAATATTTGCGAATCGCGTCCAAACGGTTCGAATCTTCTTCTGACATGTTCAGAATATTCTAAAAAAAAATAATCAAAATTAGCTTTAAAAAAATCAAGTTAAAGAAAAATTGTGATTTTTTGGAAAGCTTTCAATTGTCAGGTGTATCAAATGAAAACGGCGCTTCACACACATGTTTTCCACACAACATACCCCCACATGCGGACACCTCAACATGGGGACAATTTGACATAGGGACATTTTTTTTCAATAAAAATTCATAAAAAGGCTCAACATACAGACACTGACTCAACATGAGGACATTGAATGATAAAAATGCCAATACATTTTAGGAAAATTGACTTTTATTAGGCTTAATTGCAAGAAACAGATATTTCCAACCCTATAAGATCTATGCAAGAAAAATTCTTTAGTACTTTTCCAATCAATTTCCCATCCATTCCGCTAATTAACCCTTGGGCGGCAAAGTTGGACTGTTTTTGCAAAATTTTGTTGCACCTTGGAGAGGGTGAAGAAAAAATGTCAACAGGGGGTTAAGGACAAAGTTGGGAAAAATTCCAATGTTTTTTTTTCTTCCCTGGGCACAGACAATTTTTGCAGGAAAATTAAAAAGTGCTGAGTTAGGCTCCGCTTTTTTTGGATTCATCCCAACTTTGCCTCAGCTCACCTGGAAGGGTTTTCCTGACCTTCAAAAATCTGAAAATGTGGGAGGATACAAAAATAATCCAACTCCATCCCACTATGGGAAAGAACCCTCTGCTGTCCAAGGGTTAAAAAAGAAAAACCTATAGCACATAAGGACTTCCTTCTCTCTTTGTGACTTGGATGTTATATTTACAGATGCCAACATTTCAATGAACTGTACAGCGGTATACTATTCAATGCACCAACGTTCTTATTGGGTTGAAAAGATATTCACTGAATCTAATTCAAGTGGCAAACACATTTTTTTCATGGAATTCTGAAGAATATTTCTTCCATAAAACACCAATTAAAAACTATATAATGTAAGTGTATGGGAAAACAAGACTCAACTTAGGGACACTCTTGATGCACCAATCATGTCCGCATCTGGGGGTCTCACTGTACAATCTTAATTCCAATAAGAAATTAAATACTGCAGGAATAAAGCTTTTGCTGTCTATGCACACAAATAAAAAAGGCCAAAAATAAAACTCTTGCAAGTTGCGCAAAGTCACGCTCCATTTTGAAATCACGCCCTCATCTTCAATTACCACCAGGAAGAAAGCGGTCAGAGAGACAAAATGGCTCAACCCTTTTCATCTAAAAAAAAAAACCCCCGTTTTTTCAATAGAAATAGGTGCTGTGAAAACCAGAAGGTTGCAGCAGGGTCATTAAGTCTCGGTCCAGTACCCTGCAACGGTAACGATTCGGTACAGCAATTATTCACAACAGCAACAAAGACCAGGAGTTGAATAAAACGCACCCAACAACAACAAAAAACCCTCACCTCGCCTCGCTTTTCAAAGGGAAAACGTGGAGAGGAGAAGAAGAAAGTGGGACAAAAGGCGTAAATGGATAAAACGAGCGAAGAAAAAAAAAAAAAGATGTAGAGTCCCGAAAGGACTTTTCATGGGGACTGAGAGAGAAATCGGGAGAAAATGGACGCTGTGCAAAAAAATATAAAAAACTGCCCCAAGGGCAAGCAATCCCTTGCCTATAAATATACGCAACCCGAAGATACCGAACCCGAACCTCATCATCATCACACACCACCTGCGCATTTTTCTACAAAAAAATATGCAAAAATTAAATCAGGTACTGTATCATTGATTTTTCTTTTATTAAAATTTACTCAGTTCAATTTTAACTTTAAATTTAAATACTCTACAGCACAAAACCGGCATAATTTGTGCCAAAAGTGAAGAAAACTTAGACAGACTCTCTTTCTGCAGATCTTCTCTGGAATAAGCTGGACAAATTGAAAGCTCCTCATATAGGAGATTTTTATGCGTCGTTTTGTAAAACATGAACACAAAATCATCTCTTTATTCTTCTTATTCCGATTTAAAAAAATAATAATGCTCTAGAAGGATTAAATTTTTCACGTGAGCCAATATTCCACAACTGAATTTTCTTCATGAATAATTTTATTTGTGCCAAAAAGTAAAAAAAAACATCGACAAGCTCTCTTTCAGCAGATATTCTCTGGAAACGTTTCAAAGATATTCAATCCTTTAACTGAAGAAAAAAAATTGAAAGCTGTTCGCGGAAAATTTTTATGAGTAAAAATTCAGTAAGTAATATGAACGAAAAATTATCCCTCTATTCTTTCTCTAATTTTAAAACAATTTTCTCGAAGAATTAAAATTTTTCGCAGGAGCCAATATTCTTCCTTTCTCCAGAAATAATGTGATGTTCCTTTTTTCAATGAGAGACAGATGCAAGAAAGAGTTACGAAAAATTGCGAAGCTGCAGAAAAATGATTAAACATGCACAGGTATCAATTTACGGTATCTGAATATGCTGCGAAAAAAAAAAAAAAACTGCCAGAGTCGGTCTTATTTCTCTTTTATATATATGCTTCAAAAACGAAATCCTGCGAGAAATAAAACCAAAGGCGAAGTGAAACATGACCTTCATCCAGGGTTCAGCAAAAATAAGAAAAAAAGCAATAACCCGGATTATGACACCCAGGCAAAAAAAAAATTGGGTACTTCCCTATCATATACCCGAGGTCAACAAAAGAATTTCATGGCAAGAGAAATACAAGGAATAAGAACTTCTCGACGTCATCTTGAAACATGAAAGCAAAAAATTAGAAACGAGGAAAGAAAAAAAAACACATTCTTCATCAGATACCCTCTTTTTTTTGCCCTACTATAAATATAAACATGTATAAACCCTTTTGTCCTTGCCCTAAATCTCACGGGATTTCTTATATCCTCCTGAGCTCCACAAGTTCGCAGAGAAGTGATTTTTTTTATCCTTGCCCTCGGAAGTACTGCCTAAAAAATCCTCTCTATTCTCCAATTTATTTTTTTGAGAGAAAGAGAGATATATATATATACACAGTGAAGGAATTCTTCCATGGCACATCCGGAAACTACACTGAAGGTCGATTCAACAGCACATTTTATGTGGGTCATTCTCAATTTACGGTCGTCAGCCTACAGAAAAAGTTCAGGAATACTTGCCATGGACATTTAAAAATAATTATAAGAATCAATTGCTATCACAAGCTATTAATGAAAATAATCAACCACTTTTTTTCAACCAGTTGTACGCGGGTATACACAGATTTGCACATGTGATTTATTGAGTAAATCGCATGGAATTTGATTACGCAGAAAAAAATTGAATGTGCATTGAATATAAATAAAGAAGTGTCAATTTTTGTCACATAAGGTACACGAATTCCAACATTTGATTTCAAATGGAACGTGGGTTGAAAATTTTGAGTCAAGACTGAATACCGTAAATACTATGTCCCCAGCTTGGAGTTCGAAGCATCAATGCATGAATAATTAACAAAAACTCATTCACAAGTGATCTTTTTTTTCTTCAAGCATTCCGCCCCAAATCTTATAAAAATATTTCACTCATTCTGTCGTTTTGAAAAGAGAGGAAAGCTGTATAGACACGAGGAATGAAATACCGAGTGTTTTTGATGCAGAAAAAACACAATTTATTGACAGATTGATTAAGGAAATGATTTTAAATATCAACCAGAATTCGAAACGGCTTTTTTCTCACACCTGAATATAAAAATAATTCACGTACCTGATCTACTTATGAAATTTAGAATTTCTTATTATATGTGCATATTTATCATATATATATTCCAAAGTTCGATCTTCAAAAGTACTGGCAGAACTCAAAAATTCCGGGAAAGGAAAAAAAGGGGAGCTTAAAATCTGGATTTACTTTTCCTGATTGTCTGAAAATTAATTAATAACATCTTGATCAACAAAAATCAATTCCTCAACACCAAGATAAAAATTAATTATCTGAAATGAGTCTTCACAGTGCTTATATATGATAGATGAAGAGCAAATTGCCAAATTTCTGATGAAAAAATATTTATAATTGAACACATTTGGACGGAAACATCCTAAAATGTCTCCCACAAGCCATTCGAAATCAGAGTTTGGACACTAAAAACTGCAATCTGCAAAAAGTGCCGAGCCTGATTTCACACCAGGACCCAATAAATAAGTCACAGAGCCATGGTGGGTTTTCTCGGGAAAATAACTCTTTTTTTTCTCCGACAGTCCGATGTATTAATCATTGATGACAAAAAAAAGAAAGTTCAAGAAGAAACATACCTCCAATTCTTTGCTCATTCTCTTTTTGCTGCTTGCGCCAATAACTTGGGGTTGCAGTTTTGGATCCATTGGAGGCAGAGATTTCACCAACTTTTCCGCAGAATCTGCCAAACGCTGAATTTGCTCCTCGGTCAATGCAAAAGTTTGTGACGAAGGAGAAGACGGATTTCCGTATCCATCTGATCCAGGCTAAAAAAAAATAAAAAAAAACATGCGTATTTTATCCATATTCATATTTTCGATACGAATGCACTATAAAATATTGTATGAATGAAGGAAATGCGTATTATCTGATATAACGAAGAAAGAAAACAAAAACAGAAATTGGCGTTGAACCTCAATAAGAAACAAAATACAAAGGTCATCCTTCATTATAATTCTCTGTAACATTTTTGACAAAATGCTAAAAACGTGGTTACGACGATTATATTTCCAAATCACGCTATTTTTTCAGTACGAGAAACAAATCAAAATTCAGTATGTCAAGCCTTCGTCAATCCAAAGAAAAAAAATATTCGTTTTTGATCGGAATGACCCAGCCTGTACTTCTCCCAATTTTTTTTTCTCCCAGAAAAAAGCAATAGTTTTTTCCCATCTCGAAAACTCCCCAAATAGAATCTATTTTCTGGTCCCATCATTTAGTTTAATTCAAATAGGTTCAACTTTATGAATTTTTTTTTTCCAAAATTGCTTGAAATTATGAACCCACATTAGACATGGGAGACTGGACGGAATTCTCCCTCAACAATCCGGGACTCGGCGAAAGCGGGGCTGTGCAGAAAACCGAATTGTTCTGGCTATTGTTGTTGTTGGCAGGACCCGGATCGGTACTGGGACAGCCCTGGAGTAGCTGGCCCGGGTTGCTTGGGCCAGGGGCAAAGTGGAACCCGTTCGGGCCGATCGGGAAGTGTCTGCTGGGTGACGTAGTGGGGTCTTGATGAAGTACCGGGTGTGGGGACCCAAAGACCAGACTGGCATTACTCGCTGTCTGTCGCAGCAGATGTGGGAAGTGGTGCTGATGACTTCCCGACGGGCCAGGTGCTGGTGGGCCCGGCGGTACTTGGTCCAGGGACACCAGGGGTGTCTGGAAGAGTCCTTGGAAGGAGGGAGAGATAGAGAGAGAAAAAACATTCATTCAGTTTAAGAGATGAATACAAAAAATAATTTTTTGTACAAAACAATTCCCTGCATCTTATGAGACAAAGGGTACCAAAGGAAGTTGATCCAAATCTTGAGAAAGAATTTGGAAACAAAATAAAGGTAATGCACAATAGTCCATTTGCGGCCAAGACCAAGTCTCCAGGAACAGAATTTAATTTTGCACAAAGTAATGATATGTTTTTCATTTTCAGATCACAAAATATCCAGCACACCTGAGGAGTGTTTGTCTCAAGAATCCCAAGCAAAAAGGTGTGAATTTCTTGGGTGGTGTGTGCCAGAAAAAGGGAATCCAGTTTTTTGTTGAGCAGGTTTGGTTTTTAGTGGGTTTGTGGAAGTGGTTGATTTCTGGTGTTTGTGGTGTGTTGTGTTGGTTCTGTGTTTTGGGCAACCTCTAGGGGTCCCTGATAGTTGATGTACAGAAACACATCATGTGATCACCAGGGGTCATGTGATAATCAGTGTCGGGTTGCGCCAGGGCTACTCTGTAGCCCCTTGTAGCGTCTTTGTGGAGGATTAACTCTTGGGCGGCAAAGTTGGACTATTTTTGCAAAATTTTGTTGCACCTCAGAGAGGTCAAGAAAAAAATGAAAACAGGTGGCGAAGGGCAAAGTCGGGAAAAATCCCGACGTTTTTTTCCCTGGGGGCAGAAAAAATTTTCCAGAAAATTAAAAAAATGCTCAGGGACACTACTGGCTTTTCTTGGATTAATCCCGACTTTGCCTCAGCCCACCTGGAAGGGTTTTCCTGACCTTCTAAAAACTTAAAATGAGGGAGCATACAAAAATAATCCGATTTTGTCCTGCTATGGGAAAGAACCCTCCGCCGTCCAAGGGTTAAGAAAACCTGTACCAGGCACCAATGGACACAGACAGGCAGGATGGAAGCTCCTGCTACCTTCCACCAAAAGTGCCTGCTGCTGAAAAACTGGTTTGCAAGTAGCCTTGACCGTTTCAGGCCAAAGTTGTAGAGGAAGCCAGCGGTGCCCAGAAATGGACACTTTCTGACTTTGCTTGCTAGAAGGAAGATCTCCAAGGAAATCCCTATAGTCTGTGTTGTTTGCTACAAACTGTTCTGATTGTGTACCTGACTTGTTATGTAGAAAGGTTTTGTGTGTGTGTGTGTGTGATCTGTCTTGACGGTTTGCCTGACTTGTGTGTTGGAGCATTAGATAAACTGAGATTCTTGGGACTCCACTAAGGAGGATCCGGCCTCGTGAACGCTGATTAACTTGTGTACTTTTTTCCATAATTCTTTTTGTTGATTT